ATGTGATACAATTCTATCCATCTTTAAATAGAAATATTTTTACACCATCCAAGATGGACTGTTGTCTGCCTTATTCAATGGCTGTCCTAGAATTGGGATCTCAGAGCCTCTGCACCAAGCATTTAGATTTCAAAGCCCCTTTGTGTCGTGAGTTTTCCTCTTATGGCTGAACATGTGGAAACCAGGCCAGAGGGAGAGACTAGTTTCATTATTAATTTCTAAAGTTTCCTGATCCATGGGCACTCTTACTAGTGGCATTTCCTCCACCTACTTATGCCTTAGGGTGAAGGTCCTTGAGTGTTACCCCTTTCCCAATGTGCTGCTGCAAATAAAAAGATCAAAACTTCTTTAACGCTCCTCCCTTCAAGGGACTGAGTTGGTGCCCCTACCCTTAAATCCAATCCAAGCAGTCAAGTAGGAAAGTGGCAGTGATGACACCCTGTGACTTTGGGGCAAGGTCGTAAGCCACCGTGCAGCACCCACAGCCGCTGACAGTGCTCCTGCTTGGATGCTCCTTCTCAGAACCCAGCACCAGGCAGTGGGCAGCACAGGTCATTTGGGGCGTCCACCTGTAGGCACTTGCTCAGCCATTGGAGTGGAGCCCAGCCTTCCCCAGCCTTCAGGACGTCCCCGCCCAGGCACCAGCCTTCTGAGTCACTCCAGCCATTAGAGTCTTTCTGCATGAGACCTGAGACCTCCCTTCTGTGCTCTCTCTGATTTCCTGGCCCACAGACTTTGTGAGCACAATAAAATGACTGCTGTTGTACACCACCAAGGTTGGTGTCATTTGTTATGCAGCACCTGACAACCACAACACTCAGTGTTCCTTTTGGCCATATCACTTGCCTTGTCCTGAGTCCCACCTCTCAGCCCATTCCTGTCCTAACCCCTGCTTCTCTGAGTGGGTTCTTACATGAGCTTTCCATTTTACCACTCACTCAATTTTACAAGAATATTTTTCTCATTATAACATTTTGGTTTATTTGCTTCCACTTTTAAAAACATTTTATGATTATAGGACATTTTACTAGTATGAAATGTTTAGATTATTTTCCATTTGGAGCAATTATGAATTACATTCTATTATGAACATCTTTGTGTGCAATTTTATGCTTGAGTTTGGGATAAGTTTTATAGGATAGATTTGCAGAAGTTCAATTACTAGGTAAAGAGGATTAATGACTTAAGGCTCTTGAGGCATATTGCCAAATCTATTTTCAAAGAATTATAACAATTCATGGTGACACCAATAATATATGAGCATGCCTGTTTCACTGCACCTTCTCCAGTTAAATTAAGTTTTATAATTAAGAAAAATATTAACTCGAAGCACAAAACTCATAGTTTTATTTATCTCCCAAACACATGTAGAGGTGGAATGACAAGTCAGCTGGAACAATAGGCACATGATGGTGCAGAACACAAACACAGATGAATTACGACATAGAAGAAGAGAGAAATCCAAAAGAATGATCTTCAAGCCTGGAGAGAGAGAGAGAGTACAATGGGGCAAAAGAAAGATGGAGCAATGTTGCCGAAGGGAAACCAGAGCCCGTGGCGGGGCCAAGATGCATAAGAGGGAGCAAAATCTCATACGACTGCATGGCTCTGATGGTTCCACCAAGGTGTTAGACGTCAGATGAGGGGCGTTAGGAATGTGAGAACAAGAATATCTTGACCAGCAGTGTCACTGTGCTAGAATATCCACCTTATTTATTACCGATGGTTGCCTCAGAGGGTGTCTAGAGGGTAGAACAGGAGCTTTAGATAAATGGCATGATAAAAAAAAATTACAAAAAGAAAATATCTGGAATGACAGTGAATTTGGTCAGATTCAAATACTCTCACCATTATTTTCCAAAATAACTAACAAACATTAGAGCTTCTTTTAGGTAAATGCAGCTCCTAGAACTAAGAAATTTAAGGAAATATTCAAAACAGCATTTTAAAGAGTGTTTTCCTTGAAATTCCCACTGTTTGGTGGCCAGTGTGCTGCACTGTCCTATTTTCTCCCCAGATACCAAAGGCTTGGGATAAAAACATCTGGTTTATGTGAGCCATGGTATTGGCAGTAGCACCTCATGTAAATAAATATCTGCTTAAAAATGCATATTATCTGCTATCCAGCTTTTCCAAGAACAATGTGGGATAAACCATTAATTATGTCTTCTAAACAAGAGGACACGAGAACAACAGAGGAAATAATGGGTTTTGTTCAGGCTCTCTCCAGCACGGGCATGAAAAACTAACGTCATTCAGGGTTTTTGAAGCTACTGGACTTGCAAGAAGAAGTATATTTTCCCCCAGATCACATTCAAGAACATGGTACATGCATCTCACATGTACAAGCAAATTAAAATTCTATTTTCTGCTTGGCCAGGAAATGGTCAAATTAAATATTCTAGTTTATAGAATAAGTGACATTGACATGGCAGGTGTGTGGATTGTGCATTACCCAAGATCACTTACATTTGTATACTGACCTACCATGTGCACAGTGGTTTTCTGCCTATTATCCTATTTCATTAGCACAACAGTTCTGACAAAAAGCTATTAATCTGTCCATTTTTCAAAACGCTGACCCTGGATAAATTGACTGGTTGCTTACACGAGAGTAGCTGGGTGCCGAGAGGAGAAACTACACAACCGCCACATGATGCTCTTTCAATTCAATGTTCTCCCTGTGCCTGCCCCTGGAACCCCAGACCACAGGGCCACACTGGTCTCACCTCTGGCGTCTCTGGGGAGAGCCGTGGGAGGCCCAGCCGTGGGCCTGCTGCCCTGGTCCACCCCTTACTTTTCATTCCTGAGCGCCCAGCCCCAGCGTGAATGCTTCACCTTCAGTTCTCAGAGTAAACCTCACACAGGCCCGTGAAACATACACCGTTCTGCAAGGTCTCAGGGGATCTGGGAACAACCTCCACATCATTTTCTGAAGAATTCTCTTGTTTACACTGGCACTCCGAAGGAGCAGAAAGTGGCCTCTCTCTCACGTCCAGATGCTCTTCCAAGAGACTGCTGCTGTTTTCCAACTTGCTTTTTTTTTCCATGTTGACTGGCATGCCCTGTGTAGGGGAGCACTGATTACTACTGCGGTCTTTTGACAAGAACTGAAATCGCCACGGTGGCTGTTAACACTGCTGGCTGGAACTGCAGCAGGTGCTTGCTGGAACGAGGGCCCCGACTGGCTCCACTGGGACCTGGAGAGTGGAGCCGGTTTTGCAGCTCAGTAGATCTCGGCCTTGCGGATGGGAGGTGCAATCAGGTGTGGGAGGGCAAAGTGCGAGAGGGACAGGGCAGCAAAGTGGGGCTTAAGTCCAGGGTGCCCTGGGCAGCCTTTCCCCAGGCTCTACTCTCTGTGAACACAGGATGGGTTTCCAGTGCTCAAGTCTATCTCATAGGCTTGTTGTGAGAATTAATCATATAGAAGCTAATATTCATTGTGCACTTAGCGTGTACTTGACATTGTGCTAGGCACTTCCACTATCTCCGATTCCCCATCAGCCCATGAGGATGGTTCTGTTGTCATCCTTGTTTCACATACGAGAAAGGTGAGCAACTTCTCACAATCCATGAACTTTGCACAATCTGTGATGTCACGGGAACAGGGCTGGTACAGGGGACTGGTTCATAAACCATGGCTTCCCTTTCCTTCTATCTGTGTTTACAATTGTAAACATTAGACATAGGACATTGACTTTCTTTATTTCAATATAGCTTTGTAACACAAGGTAATCCCCAAATGTATGTTTCCTGCTAGGAACTCTGAATCTCTACTGATGATAGGTCCTGTCTGCGCTTTGCCACATTTGGACTGAGGCTCAGGACACCACGAGTGGATGCACACCACGTGCCAATAGATTATGCCACAAGATCGTCAAACATGCATGAGACACATCCTGACAGACAGCTGTTCTCGGAAGCCAATGCCATTTCTGAAACTACTAGCAGTATATTGATTTGATTATGGTGCTTAAAAGTTATTCAATCTTATTATATGTGGTCCTTTTTGACTTATCAATGTTGCAGGCAGCTTTCCAATCTCAGGAAAGGAGAGAAACCACCTTCCGTGTTTACCATGGGAAGGAGCAGCACCTCAGTTCCAGAGCACCTTGGTGGTTTTCCATGCGGTTCAGCCAGGGCACAAGGGCCACACATGTGGGGCCTCTCCTCCAGCCTCCCCCTCCCCTTCAACCATAGCAAAAAGCATTATTGCTCATAAAAAGCCAGCCAAGGCTCACTATTTTCCTATAATTTGGAATTGTTACTGGAGAAATTGACAGCGACTACTTTACGTGGTTCTTAGGCAAAAGCCTGGGGCAGGCCTCCCAGGGTGCAGCCACTGGGAGGGGGAGGAGGCAGGGGGGTCTCCACGCACAGCCCAGGGATGGGCACCTGCCAGGGGAGGGCAGAGGGAGGGGAGGCAACCTGTGGCGGGACAGATGGGACAGAGGGGACAGCTGGGAAGAGGAGCCAGCTGTAGGCTGTGTCCGCAAAGCACAGAGCTGGCCCAAGAGCGTGAGAACAAGGGAAGTCCCGACTCCGGAATACCATGCACAAAGTCCTGGATGGGACTGCATCAGGTGTGCGACAGGAACCAACCACCCTGGGCAGGGGGTGCCCCCAAGGCAGGTGGCGTGGGCGTGGTAGGAGAAGTGTTTGGAACCCAGAGGAATGACAGTGCCCCCCACTCCCCATGGGCCCTGCCAAACAGTCAACCCAGAGCAACAGGTAACATCACGCAACAACTGGTTTTGCGGAGATGGTGAGATAAATGCACTAATGGTCAGCAGAGAAAATGGCCGGAGGCCAGGACGAGAGGCATCCTCCAGGGCACCCTGGGGGTGAGCCAGGGCCCTCCCGCCCCACCCTCACCTTTCTATGCCCTTATCAGGGAAGGAAGAAGAGAGACTAGATGGCTGGGTGGCAGGACAGCTGAAGGTGCTTCAGGGAATTGGGTGCCACTCCTCCCGCTCTCCTTCCCCGCACCCCCACCTCACCTTCTTCTGCTCTGGAACCATGGCCTGTCCCGGTTTGGAGGAACTTCCTTCATTCAGCCACGTGCTATTATTGGAGACAGCCCCACACAGGCTGAGGACAGTGACTGGGGCCCAGCAAGGGCCTGTGCCATCAGCCCGGGCTTGGCACGTGAGAAGGACGGTACACCTCCCAAGGGGCAGTGGTGTGGCCACTGAGGAGTTTCTGACCTGGGGACACAGAAGCAAAGGGCTTAATAAATCCTGGGGGAGGAGCATGGTGGCTGGAGAGTGAGTGGGACCCTGTGTTGGCAGACCTGGGTGGGGTGGTCCAGGTGGGGTGAAGAAAGTCCTCAGATCCCGTTCACTCCGGGGTTCCAGTCTCAACCAAGGAATTAATCCAAAAATGACTGTGACCTTCACCCCAATGCTAGTTCACTCTAGAGTTATCAGCGATGTAATTGCCCTTGAGGAGAAAGAGGCACATTGTGATTAAAGAGCCCACAGACCCTGAGATAGAGAGATTGCAGCTTAACAATTTTGCAGCAGACCACAATTTTTCATCGAGGAAATAATGAACAGGTACATCATGAAGAATTATGTGATGAGCAGTACAACATCTCATTTTAGGGAATCTGGGCTCAGAAATATGAATGCCCCTGTCCCCAAATATGCCAGCTGTAAGACACCCTCATCAATCACTTCAGGAATGTTTCCTTCCAAATAAATGACCTTTCACACTGGGCCACCTGCTTCCTCTAAGTCAGGATGCTGTGCTGGTGCAGAAGGAACCAGAGCAGGTGCCTGCTAGTCTGGGTTCTCAGAGACACGGAACCAGCATGGTATACACTAGTCAGGGACAGGGGTTCTGTGGCTGCAGGGAGCCTTAATGCCATATAGATATGATTGATAGATCCATAGGTAGATAGATAGATGATACATAGAGAGATCATAGATAGCAGAGATAGAGAGAGAGAGAGAGATTTTAAGGAATTGTCTTATGTGTTTATGGAGCTGGCAGGTCTGAAACAGAGTAGTAGAATCTGGAGATTCGGGGAAGAGTTGATGTTGCCACTGTGAGTCCAGATTCCACAGGCTGCCCGTCTGGAAACTCGGCCAGGGTTTCTGTGGCAGTCTTGTGGCAGAATTGCCACAAGCAGCAAGCAGTCTTGCTGCTTCTTTGGGAAACTTCAGTCTATGCTCTTGAGGCCTTCAACTGGTTGGATGAGGCCCACCCATGTCACTAAAGGCCATCTCCTTTAAAGTGACATCAGTCACATCTAGAAAATACCTGCACAGCAGTGTGTAGACTGGTGCTTGACCAAACCACTGAGAGCCACAGCCTAGCCAAGTTGACACACAAAGTTAACCACCCCAGCTTGTCTATATTTCCTTCTTTCTAGAACTTCCACAGGGTGAGAACAGTTATCTTTCTGCAGAGAGCAGCCAGGCTGCCAGTGATATGCCTGCTTCCAGGAACCAGAAGGCCTGCTGGCAGCAGGAGACCGCAGAGGGAAGAGGATCCAGGGAGAGGCAGGCAGAGCTGCTTCTCCCAGTGCAGTTCTTAAATTCTGCTCCTTTCCCCCCTAGAAATTTCCTTGTTGAAGCAACTCCAAGGAACACTGTGGTTTCAGATATACTCTTGGCCTCAGAGGTAACAAAATTATGCACATTCACACAAGGAAAGCTTTATTTTTAATAGAGTTTACACATATTGAAGTGCTCAGATGTCAAGTGCACCATGGGAAGGCCTCTCAAGACACAGGGTATTTTCATCATCTTGGAAAGTTGCCCAACTCCCCTCCCCAGCAGTCTCTCCCACTCAAACGCAAGCACTGACAGACTTCTGTCACCGCCACTCTCTCTTGCTTATTCCACACGTTTATATGTATTGAATCATATGGTATTGCCTTGATGAAGTCTAATTTATTATTTTTATGAGTATGCCATTTGTCTCCTAAGGAATCTTTCCTTGCCTAAGATCATGAACATAGTTTTTTTTTTTTTTTTTTTTTTTTTTTTTTGAGACAGAGTCTTGCTTTGTTGCCTAGGCTAGAGTGAGTGCCGTGGCGTCAGCCTAGCTCACAGCAACCTCAAACTCCTGGGCTCAAGCGATCCTTCTGTCTCAGCCTCCCAAGTAGCTGGGACTACAGGCATGTGCCACAATGCCCGGCTAATTTTTTCTATATATATTAGTTGGCCAATTAGTTTCTTTCTATTTATAGTAGAGACGGGGTCTCGCTCTTGCTCAGGCTGGTTTCGAACTCCCGACCTCGAGCAATCCGCCCGCCTCGGCCTCCCAGAGAGCTAGGATTACAGGCGTGAGCCACCGCGCCCGGCCATGAACATAGTTTTCTACGTGCTCTTTTAGAAGTTTTGTGATTGTTTATGATGTTTGAGATCCATCTCAAACTGACTTCATAGGGAGTATATTGGTTATCAAGGTTCTTTCTTTAATGGATCTCACACAAGGCACAATCTATTAATTACAAGTGGCCCTTGAACAACACAGGGGTTAGAGGCACAGACACCCCCATGCAGTCAAAAATCCACAAATAACTTCTTACTCTCCCAAAACTTAACTTCTAATAATAGCCGACTGGAAGCTTTGTTGATAGCATAAACAGTTGACTAGCACGTATTTTGTATGTTATATGTATTATATACTATATTCTTATAATAAAGTAAGCTAGAGGAAAGAAAATGTTATTGAAAAAACCATAAGGAAGAGAAAATGTATTTACTATTCATTAAGTGGAAACAGGTCATCACAAAGGTCTTCATCCTCATCTTCTTCATACTAAGTAGACTGAGGAGGAGGAGCAAGAGGAGGTTTGGTTTTGCTGTCTCGGTGGTGGCAGAGGTGGAAGAAAATCCACACAGTTTTAGTTAACTGTGATATAGAGCAGCAATAGACATTTTCTCCAATTTGGCTATTAACACAGGTCTTGGAGACCAGCCTTAGTACATCGGGGAGTGTTAGAGGAGCTCGTGTAGTTCAACTCTTCTTGCTTTTCCAGCTCCTCTACATGGAACTACTGTGGCTTACTAAACACATTTATTTATCGCTGTTGGTCTCCTTGCTGTCAAAATAGCACTTTCTTTTCATCCCTCCCATGTGTAGCACAGACCATGTGACAGACATTCTCCAGATGGTATCACCGCCCTTGATTTTTTTCTACTTTTTTTAAATTATGAAATTTACTATTCATGGATATATATGCACAGTTTAAAGAATAAACATACGTGTTCTTGTACTCTCTCACACACACATATTTGTAAGGGTTTTTAAAAATATTTCTACAAATATGTTCCCTTTTGGGTGCTCTTCATTATATCCTACAGATTCAGGGTTGACTCTGTTATAATTTTTCTTTACCCTGAAAAATAGTTTTAGAATTTCTTGAAGATCTGATTAAAATTCTCTTAGCTTCTATCTTTCCAAAATGTATTTATTTTGCCTTCATTTTTTAAAGCGATCTTTTTTATTTTGAGGTGATACTGCATTCATATGCAACTGTAAGAAGAGCAGAGAGATACCATATCTTTCAATGAGCTTCCTCCAATGATAATGTCTTGCAAAATCATAGTACAATATCATAACCAGGATACAGACATTGATAAATTCAAGATATAGAACAGTTCCATCACTGCAAGGGTCTTCCATGTTGCCCTTTGTTAGTAACATTTAGCTTTCTCCTCCCTACACAACCCCATAACCCCTAGTAACCATTTATCTATTTTCCCTTCTATCTATAATTTTGTCACTTTAAGAATAACATTATAGTATGTAATATTTTAAGATTGGCTTATCTTCATTTTTTAAGGCTATTTTTGTGGGATATGAAATTCTAGGATAATAGCTACTTGTATATGAGTGTGTATGCACATGTATGTGCATGTTCTCCTGTGTGCTTTCAGTATTTTGAGGGTATCTTTCCATTGTTTTCTGACCACTATTATGTCTGGTGCAAATTTAGTGATTATACTTATCTTAGTTCTCCTGTATGTCATGTGTATCTTTTATCTGGCTCATTTTAAAATCTGCTCTTTTGTTTTGGTTTTTAGCAATTAACTATGATGGGCTTAGGTGCTTTTTTCCTGATTGATGTCTTCTGATTTAAATTTGAGGGTTTATGTCTTTTATCAACTTTAAATCATTCTCAGGAAATATCTTTTAAATATTTGTTCTTCTGCATTCTGTCTTCCCCTTCTTGGACCCCAATTATACATATGTTGGGCCATTTAATACTGTCCCACAAACAAAGATACTATCAGCTGTTCTTGTTTTTGGTCTTTTTATGTTTATTTTTTACTATTTATTCTCTTTGTATTTTAGTTTAGATAATTTCTATTAACCTGTTCTCAAGTTCACTGATTATTTCCTCTGCTGAATCACTCTATTAAGTCCAATAAAATATTTATTTCTGATACTCTATTTCTCATTTTTAGCATTTCTAGTCAATTCTGTTTTGTAGCTTCTATATCTCTGAATGGATGGCAGAAATTTGCCATCTCCTCACATATATTGTACACTTTTCCCAAAAGGTCATTTAGCACATTTCTAGTTATTTTAAAGCCCGTGTCAAATAATTCCAACCACTGGGCCATCTATGGGTCTCCTGTTACTGTTCCCTCCTGCATCATATTTAATAACATACCAGGACAGCAGAGATGGAAGTAAATAATATTTCCCTCCAGAAAAGCATACTCCTCTTCTTGTGCCAGGCCACCAGAGCAGCTGTGTCTGCCCTGTCAAATTAACTTTGCTTCAATTCAGTTCTAGCTTCAAATGTTTTAAAAGTGGGCTCAGGATTTCCCATTCTTCAGTGCTTGGGGTCAAAGCACTGGCAAGATTCCCAAAATTTCTTCATGTCATCCAAATCACCAATTTTCTAAATCATCAGAGATCTCTCTCTGATTTGCAACTCAAATGATAGCTTTGCACAGTATTTGAGAATTCTCCTTGCTCTCCAGTGCTGCTCAGGCTTTTGCACACATGTGGAGCTCTCACTCTGTCTGAAATTTCTTAGGGGTTTCCTTCACCTTTCCCACCCCACCTGCAGCTGTCAGTGCAAAGACTCATGTTTGAGGAGAGGAGGATTCTCTCAGGTCTCTTGTTTACAGCTGAAAAGGGAGGTTGCCTCACACTGATTTATCCCAGCTCTCAGGCTGTGCTTCCCGTCCTCAGCAGGTGGTTGCCTTGGATTGGGAGGAGGTGCCTTGAACTC